TTCATTGATCTTTTATTTTTTATTATTTGCATTTTAATTTTAGTGACAGCAATAAAACCCGTATTATTTTTTCTAACTTGCTTATTCTTTAAAAATATTTATAGCACCCTCATATCAATCTTCAACTGATTTAATCTATAAGTGTTTGTTGTGCACTTGTAAACATAATCAAGGAATAAAACGATGAGGACATTAACAGTCGAGTGTGGATACTGGGAGCAAAAAATATCATAAAATAGGAATGACAGATCCGACATAATGCCAACAAAAATGATGCTACATCAAGGGATGAATTAGAAATTCATGCCTTGCTGAAAAAAGAGTACAACATTATTGATCCCCATGTTTCACTTAAGCTCACTTTCAATGGTCATCTTGGATGTTTGAAACTAATGACGAGACAAAAAAATTTGAGCAAATAAAGAACGACAGGGATATGGATATAGATGTAGATGAGCTAATTTCACTTGAGTATGATGGATAGTGCATTATATTATGTGTAACGGAGTAAATGGTTGCACATCCTTTGCAAAGGAGAATTTATAATTTCGTGACACATGATGGAATCATCATCGGTGAGAGTTTTTCGCCATTGGGATGAGTGTTCAACTACAAATACTACACAAAACACCTTCTTTGGGGTTGACTTATCCATGAGAGTTTTTGAAATAGATAATGTAGCTTTCTTAGATAACCATTATGGGGATAAGTCTTTTTATTAATAAAAATATTCAATATTCACATATGACCATAAAATTGATAACGTGTTGTTGTCTTTTGTATCGTGGGATAAAATCTTATACTAATTAAATCTAAAAACTTAGCTCATATTTTTGCAGCTCATACGATCTTTGATAAAACAACCATTTACGAATGTGATAAACTTTTCATGGGATAAGATTATAAAAATAAAGATGATTTCAAATTTAAAATGGTGATACACGCTCTACAACAAAAATTTTATTTCCATCACACAAGGTCCGACCCGAAAATGGCAATCTTCAATTGCATTTCTGGTCACAAGCCAAAAAAAAAAAATATATTTGAACCAACTCATTAGTAAATTTTATTATAAAAAAAAACAAAAGATAGTGGTGTTAAAGAAACTCAAATATCTTATCTCTAGTTCATATGCGAAACAATTAGCCAATAGACTACAAATACCCTTTTATCCATATTTAAAATCGATTTAATATATCATTTTTAAAGAGATGCAAGTTCAAGCTTGGGCTATTGTGCACTGTTCTGAAAAAACATAGACTATTATTTGCGAGTAGAAAATATGAAGCTGACAAACTTCCTCGAGCAAATTTGATATATGTCAACAATGTTTCTCCATACTTAATCTACTACTTACGAAAGGTGATTTAGTCTCCAAAATTAGATTAGCAAAAAATTTAGTCATAGACAGAAAATTTTCAAATGATTTTTTAGCAACATAAGATAGATTTTCAAGAATCAAAATTCTTTTAATATATTTAAATAAAAAACTAAATTTGTTATGATTTCATGTCTCTAAAAATTTTGGCGGTTACACTTTGTCGTGGCCGTTACATTTTCTTAGAAGCGATAATCCAACAACATTACATTAGAAGCCAAGTCTTGCATAGCCTACAGTCAAACCCTGAAAGGAATCGGCCAATCTCTTCACAGCATCACTCATCACTACCGCTTCGTGGAAGGAGAGTCTCACGACCCAGAAGAAAGCAACGAAGATTCGCCTAAGAAAGTTAAATCCAAATTAGCTTTTACAAAACTCAAACGAGAGATGCAAATGGAAGGAATAGTTGAGGATGATAGCTTATGTCGAATAGCTAGTCTTCAAACTTGATTGTAACTTCTTTTGAGTTACTAAATGGTCAGATTAGTGACAGACCCAGAAAATAATTTTAGGTGGGTCATAATCTTTGAAAAGAAAAAAAAATAATCTCTACATGTATTAAGGAAGATTTAATCTCAGGTTGGGAGGTGCAACACTTAGGAATTTAACCATCCAACCTGATATTACTTTACAGACTTAGCTTACAATTTAAATTTATATTATTTAACCTAAGTTAATTGACCCACCTAAGCTGCGCGTAGATCCGCCACTAGGTGAGATAACACAATCATCGTCATAAGGCCTAAAATTAGATTTTTAAACTCCAGGGTCTTGAAAGAAAACCTGAGATAACATTGATGTAGTTGGTTGTGTTTTGTTCTTAAAACATAAACCTCAAAGATGAAAAAAGTGTTTCAAACCTTGGATAGAAGTGGAATTAGGTTCCAAAAAGACATAAACAAAGATCCCCGAAGGAGAATGATTTCATCCTTTGATTGACCACTGCTCTTGTGCACCTTAATCCCTGCAATAAAACTTTTCTAACCTAAAGGGAATTAGAAATAACAAACAACTCCATAAAGGAGTAACAATGACAATCCCAACAAACGTTAAAAGAGTTCGCTGAAATATGCCTATTCTTTTGAGAATAAATCTACAAAGAATGTGACTTTATGACAACGAGTAGATTTGATTTTAATCAGAACACTTGAAGACTCCACATATGGGAAGTGACTAATTTGTTCACAAATCCTATGAAAGAGCCTAACTTATCCTATTCCATTTCAACTTTAAAGCATGACAACTCATAGTGATTTTAGGGAAGGAGAATGAGATGTAATTAAACATCATACATGATCGAGACGTTCTCGAAACGGACATCAAAGC